AAAAATGGTCGATCAGATTTTGGTATACTATGCAGATATCCCTCCCGTTAACCGGATATAGGGAAATATTCAATACATTTCAAACAACTAAATAAGTAATGACGGATTTTAGTTTTCATATTTGGGAACCAATAGACTCGTTTTACGTTCTCAATGACCTTTTCGAATCCGACGTGAGCCATTTCGTCGTGACAACTTCGTATTACATTGTTTTCCATACACTGCGGTACATAAAATAATAATTTCCCCTTCTCTTTCCTATAAACAAGTCCTTCTCGTAATTCAAAATTTTTATCTTCTTTTACTTGTAAGCTATCCCGAATTTTCACTATATCATTATCTATGTTTTGTTTAATCGCCAATATTTGTTCGAATGTATTCGATTCTAAGATTAAAATTCCATGACACCTACTTAGAGCATCGACATGTCCCATTCGCGTACCCGGACGGTGTATGATTTCGAGATTATAATTTTGTAAGAAAAGCGCCCATCTAGAAATTCTGGGATTAATTATTTGTTTATCTAACGTTAATTTAAAACTACAGTGGAACCTCGATAAGTCGAAATTCAAGGGAAATGCAATTTTTTCGACTTATCAAGGTTTTCGACTTACTAAGGTTTTCGAGTTATCAAGGTTTTAGAAAAAAAATTCGACTTAAAGAGTTTTAAAAATTTATGTATGTATTAAAGTTTTTAATTATTATGTACTTAGTATATATGTATGTACAATGTAAAAAAATGTGATTATAAAGATTATTTAAATAAAAAAATTATTACAAAAAATTTATTATTTTACTTTGACTTAAATTTTGAGATTTACTATTATCAATTGTATTTTCTATTACATTTAAAGCAGAGTACACTTTATCGTCCACATTACTCAATTGTTCGGTGAATGTCCTTAGCAATATGAGGGCTGCTGTTGCTTGCTTCATTGAAACACGATGCACAGGCTCAGATGATGCTTCTTCGATATCATCAACATCTTCAGTGCCACGGACGGAGTCAGTTATATCGTCGTCTGTCAGAATACCAGAAACGGCAACGTCATGGTCGATTTAACAAAATCGTCAAACGTTTCTTCCACGATTCTATAACGATTTGCTATCATCGCCCATTCTCTGTCATCCGTATCAGTATTTTCGATTATAGGCATCAATGTGTCGTCTTTCTCAGATTCAAGTACAAATCCACACGTTCTAAAGCAGTTCACGATTGTTGACGTTGCTATGTTTCTCCATGTCTTATGAACAATGCGCATAGCTTGAAGAATATCGATTACTGTAGATTTTTCGTCATCCATATCACTTATAATTTTCCTCACTATTTCTTTTCTATAAAGCGTCTTGAACGTTTTAATAATTCCTTGGTCCAAAGGTTGCGACTTTGATGTGGTATTTGGCGGTAAAAATTTTACTTTTATAGCTTGATAATTCGGTATAATATTGTGAGCCGGGCAATTGTCTATAAACAATAAAATTTTAAGTTTTTGTATTTTCATCTGTTTGTCTATTCGTAATAGCCATTCAGCAAACAATTCACTAGTCATCCATGCTTTCTTATTTGCTGTGTAGTTAACAGGAAAAGATTTGACACCAGCAAAACACCTCGGGTTTTTCGATTTTCCAATTATTAAAGGTTTCAATTTATCTGTACCAGTCATGTTAACAGCCAATAATAGTGTAAGTCGTTCTTTGCTATGTTTACCACCACTGCATTTCTCATTTTTGAATGTTAAAGTTTTATCTGGCATACATTTGTAAAAAAGTGCAGTTTCATCTGCATTAAATATATCACATGGTTTATATCCTTCCAGCAGCTCACTCAAATTTATTTTCCATTCATTTACAACATTATCACTGACACCTGCACTTTCACCACAGACTTTCCGAAAAGAAATATCGTGTCGTTTTTTAAAATTTTCAAGCCACCCGTTACTGGCCTTAAATTGTTCGTGGCTTAATGATTTTGCGAAATTTTCTGCTTTTTCCTTTAAAATAGGACCTCCGGTACTGACATTGGCATCTCTGCATTGCTTGAACCACTTAAATACACATTCTTCTACGTCTGAAAAATCAGGACCTCTCTTCCTCTTCCGGTCTATTGGAAAGTTTAAATCGATTTCCTTACTATTTTTTATTATGGTTGATAGTGTACTGGCTGGTATTCCAAATTCTTCAGCAATGTCCTTCTTCTTCCTTCCACTTTTCACTGCTTCAAGAACCTTTTTTTTTTCTCCAATAGTAAGTTTTTAAATTACGAGGCATTTTTACATTCACAACCGTACACAGACACCGCACACGCGTAATCGATCGATCGCAACTGGCAATACCGATACAAATTAAAAATACTGTTACGTGCCAAGGTCAGTTAATACATACGATAATAAACACAATAAACGCGATTAGATAAAATTATCGGAACGGACAAGCCGATTAGACAAATGTTTATAAAATTATCTGTCATTATCCGTCATATTCGGAGCACAGAATGTTCGAGTTATCTATAGTTTTTTTTTCGAGTAATCGAGGTTTTCGCAAGGGGACGGAATTTTTTTCGACTTATCAAGGTTTTCGACTTATCGAGGTTCCACTGTATTACAATCAGTCACGATTTTAAAGTGTATACCGGCCAAATATACGTGAAATCTTTTAATAGAATACACTACAGCCTGTCGCGAACCAATTGGTGACACGACACACAATAATAATAATAATAATAATCACTGACACGATAGAAGTATGATGGTAATGACTAAGGAGCCGTATATTTTACGAAAACGATCGCACGAATAATAATAATAACAATAGTCTCGTCGAGAACGCACGAGAATAATAATAATAAAAATAAGCCAATCAATATGACAGCGAAAGTCGTAGTTCTTCGATGTCGTACGTGGGGTGATGTGCGTTAGAGTGGCGATGCGAACGTACCAAAAGTTGACGAACAACTCGTCGTTCCGACGACACTTGCCTTCGGCGGTGCCGATGCCCCGCTCTTCCCGTTCCTTAAGGAAGGTGCGGGGTGTGACGCGTCGGTATCGTGATCCGCGAACTATCGGCTGATTAGAAGACTATAAATACGATCGGCGGCGTCCGTTGTGGTGAACGGTAGTCGCCGGGTCCGCGTCAAGCCAAACACTCCAATTCGAAACTATGATAACGCGACTCGGCCTATGTTGTTCGTTGACTGAAATAAAACACCGAGTGTAATTTACCTGTCGTTTGTTTTTGTAACAATACTGAACCAAACCCGTGAGAACTGGCATCACAGTGCAATTCCGTAATCGCGGTCGGTGAATAAATACAGAGGATGGGAGATTCCGATAATTTATCCTTCAATGTATTAAACGCGTGTTGTTCATCATCACCAAAATAAAAATCTATGTTCTTTTGTAATAACGTATGTAATGGTTTAGCAATAATCGAGAAGTTAGCTATAAATCGACGAAAATAACTAGCAAGCCAATGAATTGACGAACTTGTTTTTGATTCTTCGGTGTCGGATAATTCTTAACCGATTCAATATTCCTGGGACTAGGGCGTACTCCTAATTCATTAATAATATAACCAAGATATTCAACACTAGTATAAAGAAACGTACATTTATCTAGACGAAATTTCAAATCGAACTTCGAGGCCAAATTAGAAATCTTTTTCAAGATAGAAAAATGTTCAGAAATAGTTACTGTCGCTACCAACATATCATCGAGATAAAGTGTTATTTCACTTGCTTTAATTAAATCGGAAAAATTGGCATAAATCTGGCGAAAACTTTTGGGGCATTTGTTAAACCAAACGGCATTTTAAGATACTCGTATTGTCTCAACGGGGTCACAAAAGAAGTATACGGTACCGACGAGGCGTTCATTCGAACATGATGAAATCCGTTTTTTAAATCGACAAGTGAATAATATTTTTTATTTTTTAAACTGTCAATTTGATCGTCGATCAGTGGCGCGGGAAAATTGTCTTTAACTGTTATTTTATTTAATTCGCGATAGTCTATACACAGCCTGGTGTCTCCATTTTTCTTTTTAATAAGTACTATTGGGTTGCTGTAAGGACTTCTACTCTCTCTAATTGTACCCTCTCTTAATAATTCATCCAAAATATTACGTAATTTTTCTTAGTCGTCATACGAAATACGTCTCGCTCTATATGCAATAGGTTGATCATGTTTCAATACGATTTTCATTTCTAAATTAGGATTTATATCCAACGTACTTTCCTCTTTGATTTTATTAACATACTCTTTCTGATATAACTCAAACAATAGCTCCTTCATATTCACATCTAACTCAGGATTTACATTCAACATTTCTTTCACGCTATCAAATTCATGTTCATAGCTTACACACAAAATTTGACTAAAATCATTGGTTTTATTCAATTCACCTTCATAACAATCGAAATGAACAACACCATTTTTAAACGACAAATTAACACCAGGTTTGGTGACAAAATCCCTACCTAAAATTGCACTCATAGTCATAGTATTTTCGGGTACGACGTAAAAACACATAGTAAATGTATTATCGTTAACAAAAATAATAGTCTCAAACATTCCTAACAAATCTAATTTAATACCATTAATACCAGAAAAAATACAATTTTTATCTAACGGTTTTATTACATTTATATTATTCGGAATTAACTCACGCTTTAACAAACTGATAGGACTTCCGGTGTCGATGATCGCCACAAATGTAATTTCACACTGTGTGTCCGCGTCTACTGGAACATTGCATGAACAGGTCACTTCGTACGGTTCCGGGTGGTCGTGAGAAGCCTTGGTTCGGTTTGACGTTACGTTCATTATTCTGGACTCGTTCTCGTTCACCCCTTTACTGCTCGGTACCTCCACTGTCTTCGCCGTTGTATAACGATTCAATGCTGGACACTTCGACCGTTGATGGGTCGTAGATCCACATTAATAACATGCACCCTTTTCTATGCGTGGTTTCGGACAAGCAGGCGCAATATGAGATTTCGCATCACAATTAAAACATCTTTTAGTCGGTCCACTTACAAAATTTGTACTAGAATTTGTATTTTGTCGTGTCTCTAGTCGGTCGGACGACATGGTTTTTACCGGTTCTTTCGTGACATTTAACGATCGTATACGGGCGGTACGTTATGTATCCAAACGTTCAAAGTTGACAATGTCATTTAATAACTCGTCAGTGTCGACGTGGTCTCGACTTAGTAAATGCATACTCAGGTCTTTAGAAAAAAGCCCTTCTAATATTTGAATTTTTGTTTCTTGTAATCCCAAATCGAGTATTGCACACAAATGTACCTTTTCGTGAAAATATTCTAAAACATTTTCACCTTTGCGTTAAACGCGGCGCGTCATTTCCTTCCAACGATCTCCAACCAACACTTCGCCGACGAAAGTTCGTTTGAATTGATTTTCGAAATCGATCCAACTCGTAATATTACGTGATAAAAACCAATGTCCAGCGGGACCACCGAGGTTATTGCGAACTGTCTGTAATTTGAAATTGTCCGGCCATCGGTTTATTTCGGCTACGCGATTCACTGTTTTCAACCAATCTAAAGCTTGACATCGAGTATTTAGACCGTCAAACACAGGAATCGATTTATGAAAGTCGGGGGTAAACATGATTTTATTTACCGGTTTTGTTTGCTGTACCTTCAACAATTCCATTAGCATATTATTCTGGATCATTAACGCCTCCAACATTTGTTTCGTAGTCGATTCGGTCTCATTCGGCGCATACGAATTTGAACTATTTCTTTCATTGTCGTTCTCGTTCATTGAAGTTTCTATCGTTAATTGCTCTTTCGTTGCCGGCTCGTTCAATACTGTTGTACCCATGTCACTCGATGCTGTATCATCTGATTCACTCTGACTTACGGTAGTCTTCGATCTGGTTTTCATTTTAATTGTATTGCTGACACTTTCGTACTTTCAACTGACTAATTATATGTTTTTATTACGTTTACGACTGCGAAGGGATAATACGTATATGTATATTATATACGCTACCCCACACCTGAATTGTTGGTCACTTACGAGCGGAGTATAATGATTTTTTAATATTAATAATTTGAAACAAAAAAAACATATTACGTTGTCTAATAACTTTTATTATGATTTAAACCTTCGGGACTTACAAAAATGACATCGCGTCAGAACGTTCTTTCCTACAATATCTGTCGACGTGCGATCGATAACAGACTAACTGACTGACTAACATTATTACTTTATCGTCATATTTATAATTTTCGTTGATTCCAGAACATTCGATGGAAACACCCGATAATATCGTAGACACGATAAGCGCTCCGCCGAACATTCCAGAATAAACGCTAACAGCTCGGCCTTTCTGACAATAGTTCGTCCCGAACACGTACAATATAATATCATATAATTAATAAATAGCATACAATTTTTTTTTTCTTAATTTCAATATTCAGTATAAATAATTATAACACAAAAAAAATGATAATAATAATAATAGTACAATTCAATATAAAAACTGCTACGTAGGTACATAAAAAAAATGGTGTTTAAACACATACATAAATTTGAATACGTTTTTTTTTTTTTTTAAATAAATTTACAATAATAACACAATAATTATAATATTATACAATTGGTACCTTCACCCACCTTCTCATTTGGTCCGGACCTATTACTCCTTCAAATGGTCTCTGAGTTATTTGGTTACCCTCGATATCAGTAACTACATACCGATCTTTATCTAAAACCTTTTTTACGGTGTAAAGTCCCTTAAACTTGGGTACTAATTTTTTATTTATTCCGGGAGTGACATCAAAATTTCTTATCATTACATAGTCATTTACGTTATCCATCTGGGGTTCTTTATGACATCTATTATACTGAATCGCACTCTTGTGTTTTAAGTTTATGATCAGATGCCGTTTCCCTTAACTTCAACAAATTATCCGCATCCACACTCTCATTAGTCTCATTCAATACATCTAATGCATATCGTACCTTATCAGTGATCTCACCTACCTGTTCAATTCCAAATAATAGTTTACTAGGCGTTTGTCCCGTCGCTTTATGTATTGTATTATTAATGGCAAACTCTACCTTAGACAATACCTGGTCCCACTCATCGGAGTGTTTCACTATTTTCGCTATCATCGGCGTTATCGATTGATTAACTACTTCTACCTGACCGTTCGCCCTAGGCGTACCGGTAGCAATTAATACTTGTTCGACGGACTCGCGGGACAGAAATGTTTTGAAATCGTTCGAAGTAAATGCAGTTCCACGGTCGGAAATGAGTCGTTTCGGTTTAGAATAAGTACGAAAATATTCTTTCACGTATTTAATTACCTCCTCCGTCTTTGTTGTTTTGCACGGATAACAACGTACAAATTTCGTGAACCTGTCAATTATAACTAAAATAAATTTATTATTGTTTTCTGTCTTTTCAAACGGCCCTAAATGATCGACATGTAATGCTAAAAATGGTCGATCAGATTTTGGTATACTATGCAGATATCCCTCCCGTTAACCGGATATAGGGAAATATTCAATACATTTCAAACAACTAAATAAGTAATGACGGATTTTAGTTTTCATATTTGGGAACCAATAGACTCGTTTTACGTTCTCAATGACCTTTTCGAATCCGACGTGAGCCATTTCGTCGTGACAACTTCGTATTACATTGTTTTCCATACACTGCGGTACATAAAATAATAATTTCCCCTTCTCTTTCCTATAAACAAGTCCTTCTCGTAATTCAAAATTTTTATCTTCTTTTACTTGTAAGCTATCCCGAATTTTCACTATATCATTATCTATGTTTTGTTTAATCGCCAATATTTGTTCGAATGTATTCGATTCTAAGATTAAAATTCCATGACACCTACTTAGAGCATCGACATGTCCCATTCGCGTACCCGGACGGTGTATGATTTCGAGATTATAATTTTGTAAGAAAAGCGCCCATCTAGAAATTCTGGGATTAATTATTTGTTTATCTAACGTTAATTTAAAACTACAGTGGAACCTCGATAAGTCGAAATTCAAGGGAAATGCAATTTTTTCGACTTATCAAGGTTTTCGACTTACTAAGGTTTTCGAGTTATCAAGGTTTTAGAAAAAAAATTCGACTTAAAGAGTTTTAAAAATTTATGTATGTATTAAAGTTTTTAATTATTATGTACTTAGTATATATGTATGTACAATGTAAAAAAATGTGATTATAAAGATTATTTAAATAAAAAAATTATTACAAAAAATTTATTATTTTACTTTGACTTAAATTTTGAGATTTACTATTATCAATTGTATTTTCTATTACATTTAAAGCAGAGTACACTTTATCGTCCACATTACTCAATTGTTCGGTGAATGTCCTTAGCAATATGAGGGCTGCTGTTGCTTGCTTCATTGAAACACGATGCACAGGCTCAGATGATGCTTCTTCGATATCATCAACATCTTCAGTGCCACGGACGGAGTCAGTTATATCGTCGTCTGTCAGAATACCAGAAACGGCAACGTCATGGTCGATTTAACAAAATCGTCAAACGTTTCTTCCACGATTCTATAACGATTTGCTATCATCGCCCATTCTCTGTCATCCGTATCAGTATTTTCGATTATAGGCATCAATGTGTCGTCTTTCTCAGATTCAAGTACAAATCCACACGTTCTAAAGCAGTTCACGATTGTTGACGTTGCTATGTTTCTCCATGTCTTATGAACAATGCGCATAGCTTGAAGAATATCGATTACTGTAGATTTTTCGTCATCCATATCACTTATAATTTTCCTCACTATTTCTTTTCTATAAAGCGTCTTGAACGTTTTAATAATTCCTTGGTCCAAAGGTTGCGACTTTGATGTGGTATTTGGCGGTAAAAATTTTACTTTTATAGCTTGATAATTCGGTATAATATTGTGAGCCGGGCAATTGTCTATAAACAATAAAATTTTAAGTTTTTGTATTTTCATCTGTTTGTCTATTCGTAATAGCCATTCAGCAAACAATTCACTAGTCATCCATGCTTTCTTATTTGCTGTGTAGTTAACAGGAAAAGATTTGACACCAGCAAAACACCTCGGGTTTTTCGATTTTCCAATTATTAAAGGTTTCAATTTATCTGTACCAGTCATGTTAACAGCCAATAATAGTGTAAGTCGTTCTTTGCTATGTTTACCACCACTGCATTTCTCATTTTTGAATGTTAAAGTTTTATCTGGCATACATTTGTAAAAAAGTGCAGTTTCATCTGCATTAAATATATCACATGGTTTATATCCTTCCAGCAGCTCACTCAAATTTATTTTCCATTCATTTACAACATTATCACTGACACCTGCACTTTCACCACAGACTTTCCGAAAAGAAATATCGTGTCGTTTTTTAAAATTTTCAAGCCACCCGTTACTGGCCTTAAATTGTTCGTGGCTTAATGATTTTGCGAAATTTTCTGCTTTTTCCTTTAAAATAGGACCTCCGGTACTGACATTGGCATCTCTGCATTGCTTGAACCACTTAAATACACATTCTTCTACGTCTGAAAAATCAGGACCTCTCTTCCTCTTCCGGTCTATTGGAAAGTTTAAATCGATTTCCTTACTATTTTTTATTATGGTTGATAGTGTACTGGCTGGTATTCCAAATTCTTCAGCAATGTCCTTCTTCTTCCTTCCACTTTTCACTGCTTCAAGAACCTTTTTTTTTT